GTGTAGCAGAAGCAATTAGGATAGCATACAGGGTTTCTGAAATCAAAACATTGTCTGTGGAAATATCTTTGCATGAGATTTTTTTTTCTCTCTGTCGTACTATTATTTGTAGTTTCATTATGAAGACATACACAGAAAATTGGTGGTATTTCTGAATAATTAAATATATAGTAATTATATTGTAATATAATATTAATGTCTTTATTTTTGAGATTATAGTACAAACGTATCATTCTATCTCTTCCTTTCTTAAATCCATGTGTCAACCTCAAATCCAAACCTTCCTCATTACTTATTTTTCACTTTTAGTGTTCTGATTACCTAAGTTAGAAGGGCACCAGTTCACTGGTCTTCCATATACGTGAAAGGAATTGTGAAAGAGAAAGGAGGTTAGAGAAAATAGTAACAGGTTTTTTTTTTTTTTTGAAAGTGAATGTGATCTATTAAATAGGATAGGGTGTGTGAATACCAGAGATCATTGACATAAAATACACAATGCTTGGTGATGTGATTCTGATTCCTTAGTTATATAGTACATGCCTCCCTCATGTTTGGGTATTTTGTGTTTTATTGGGCATGTTACCCTCGTTGAATAAATCTCAGGTAAGGCAAAACTTCCAGTCTTACTTTGCCAATTAGTCTCTTTAATATGTTAATCTTCATGTAAGAGTCAATAGAGGAATGCTGATTACTTTGTTGTACTTAAAGAAGTTCTCAATCTGTATGCAATTCTTTCCTGAGATAGTATCACCAACAGTGGTCTGGGACTTCTCAGAGTAAACACAAAATAAATGTATCAGTCCAGCCTACAAGCCAATCTGATAAAGTTATCTGCTCAATTAAGGTTCATTCTCACCAGTTGATTTATTTTGTCAGAAATTCACAAGATATAACCAGTCCAAACATTAAACCCATGACATCACAAAAGAATTTAAACATCAATTAAGTTAAAATCCTAGGCAAAGTATGGGAAGAGACAGGAAAGAGGGCAGGAGAATGAATGGAAATCTTCAGCTGCTGAGAGTGGGCAGGGGGTAAGAATCTCTACAAATGGCAAGAGAGCTGATCTTGTGGAGGATCCCAGGAGACAATGATGATAACATTAGCGTAGAAACATAGAAAGGGGATCTGGTCCCTGATGAGGTTACCTCCTGTTGTCAGGCAGAACCCCCAGTGAAAGGATAAAGATACTAACCCACTTATTTATTCTGTCTAGAATAATTACAGGAGCCAAGATGGAGTTTGAGGGAATGGTAAACCACTAACCAGCCCAAATTGAGATCCATCTCATGGGCATGAATCAATCTCTGATACAATTAAAGATAATTTTGTTATAAATTGCAAACAGGAGTCTAGCATAACTGTCCTCTACCAAGCATATGAATAAAACAGATGAAGAGACCCACAGCCAAACATTGGATGGAGATCGGGATCTCTTATGGAAGAGTTAGGAGAAGGATTGAGGGCCCTGAAGGAAACAGGAACTCCACACAAAGTCCAATAGATTCAACTATTCAAGACCCATCTGGGCTCCCATAGACTAACCCAAAAAACTGAAAAACATACACTGGCTGAATGGACTGGGTATTCCCTGCCCATATTTAGCAGACTTGAAGTTCATTACCCATATGGGTCTCCTAAAAAATGAAGATGGTATTATCCCTAAAGTTGTTGCCTGTCTGTGGAATCCATTCCACACCTGGACTGCCTTGTCTCAACTCAGTGGAAAAGAATATCCCTAACCCTGCAGAGATGTTATGCACCATGGTTGCTGGATACCCAAGAGTCCTCACCCTCTCCAAGGCAAAAGGGAAATGGGTAAAAGAATCAAGGAGGTACTGACTGAGGGGATCAATCTGGATTAAAATTAATTAATTAATTGATTAATTAATCAAGGAAAATCTTGTGGTAGAGTATAACAGCTGCTCCTGACAGCACTCCTTAATTCCTTCAATGTATATGATGAGCACAAAAACCATTCCCACTTGAGCTTGCTCCAATTGTGTTAAAAATGACAACTGTGATATACACAGTTCTTTACCTTGACATATGAGAACACACTGTCCAAACAGTTGATCAGGAGGACACTAGAGATTTGATAGCCCCACATTGCCTAGACAGGATAGAACAGCTTCCAAAATTCTACTTCATAGTAAAGTCTGACAGATCTTCTGTACCTGGCTGAGAAATATTGATGTACCCAATGATACAGAGAAACTTTGTGTGACTGCATAGGCAACCAGTAAGTCTGTCATTTTTATTATACTTAGAGGCTGTTTGGTCATATGAAACTGATCCTTCTCTGGTCTCTAATGGGTATGAAGACTAGTTTAATTATAGATTAGTTAACTAGAAAAGTTAAGAGCTTTAACATTACTCAATGGAGTTCTTATAATATTATCATAATCACATGCTCAAAAACAAAAGTTTCAATTGGTTGGCTTCTAAGTACACACTTAAAATGCACTTGATATTGTGCTTATTTGATATAAACTCCATATAGAACATTGAGCTCTTCAAAAGAGAATAGATAGTAGGAGTACTTTCTTCAGTGTTGTGAAATACAAATAAACTGGATATTGAAAATATAATTCTTACCGTGAGAGTACTCATAATAGTTCTTATTGTATATAGTTTTCTGATATTAGAGATAAAGCCCTCTCTTGGAAAAGGGGAAAATGTTGGGGTGAGAAAGTCCCACATATAATGTTTTTTTTTCTTTTTTGTATGACTTATTTATTTATTCTCAAATTGTAATTCATTCACACAGGGGTTATAAACACAGAAAGGCAGGATGTGGGGAAGGGAATGACACTGTAGTGTTGGTATTCAAGGGGAATACAGATATCTTTCCAAACCGGGTATTGGCTGGGTGAAGGTTCAGGGGACAGGTCACTATGACGCTGCCTATGACTCACTTGTCCTTATCTAAGTTGGTATTGTCTGCCAAGGCTACCTATTTACAAGGTCTATGACTGTTGGGGCTGGTAAATTTCCAAAAAAGCTGCCTGTTTACAATAGCTTACAGCCATCTGTTTCAATGTTTTTCCACAGACACCCAAGACTTGGTGTTAGTATACATGTTTGAGAGGCCTATTGATGATTTTAGGGGTATGGCTGATTTTAGGCCTTCAGTGTGTAGTCAGGGCTGCCCCTGACATCTCCTCCCTTCTCTAAGTATAGCAGGGTTGTGGTGATTCTAATCTTGCAAAGGAGGAGGTAGAGGCCTGACCTTCAATAATTGAAGGGGACCTTGTAATGGCTCCAGTCCCTCTGTCATTGTCCAGTGAGGCACCCACATATAATGCATCAATTGACTTTGTACATGTTGTATTAGTCATGGTTCTCTAGAGCCACAGAACTTATAGAATCCTTCTGCATATTAACGGAATTTTTTTGTAATGACTTACAGTCTGAAGTCGAACTAACCCAATAATGGGCACCTGTGGATGGGAATTCCAAAAATCTAGTAGGTGCTACATCCCAAAGGAGTAGTTGTTTCAGTTGATTCAAGCTGTTAAGCTTGAATCCTGAAAAAAAAGTTTCTATAGATGTGCTGTCAAGTAAGTGTAAGTAGGTAAAGAAGAGTGAGTCTTCCTTCTTCCACTGTCCTTATGTAGGACTCCAACAGAAGGTATAACCCAGATTAAAGGTGTGTACCATCACACCTGCATTTGGAACTTCTTTTGTCTCAGGCTGGCCTTGAATTCAGAGATGAGCTTGTCTCAGCCTCCTGGTATTAAAGTGTATACTACCATGCCTGGGCTTAATTTTCCATGGCCACTGTGCCTCAAGACTAGGATCAAAAGTGTGTGTCATACCATGTCAAGATCTGGATCAGAAGCCTGTGTCTTCTAGCCTCAAGATCTGAATCACAGCTCTCCACTTCTGGATTGTACTTTATTCCAGATCTAGTCAAGTTGACAGTTAGGAATAACTATCATAAGAGTTTTCCTGTATTCACAGTAACTAATTACTGGACTGGCAGCTCCAGGTATTGGGAGCATATATGTTATTATCATTTATAGAGCTCAAGATGCCTGCCTTCTCTGTGTAATTATTTGTCACTTCTTCACATTCTCAAAAAGATGATTCTCTGAAATTGTCATGTTGAAAACCAAGTTTTCCTGGGGAAGGTCATATAACCTTCAATTTGCCCAAATGATGACACTACACAGCATAGTCCTGCTGCTAATTGTTTAATGTGAGTAAACAGTTGAATCTCTCCAAGAAGCTTTTTTTGTGTTAGATGTTGATAAAGAACTGCCAGATGGATGGCAGGCCAGGAAGAAGGATGACAGAATGACAGGGACACAGAAATAAGGTTGCAGAATGATGGGAAGACAGGAAGAGAACAAGATTGTAAAACAGAGAGAAAGCGCCACTTGGTGGAGACACAGTGACAAGGGTCTTTGATCTAAATGGATAGTTGAGACACTGCCCTAGCAAAAATATCAGCAATCTCATGTTATTCTTATCTCTTTATCTCTACTATTAAACCCAAAGTGAGACAGATCAACAGTCCTGGAATCCATTAATTTTGAATGGTTTTACCTGCAATGCATTCTATTGGGCCTTTTAATTTTCCACTTAGTTGGCATCCTTATATGTGTGGATCTACACAAGTTGTTTTTATATGAAAAGTTTCTTGATTCATATTTTTGGCCACTTAGTCCCAAAAGGGGTTCAACTCTGACCAGTTGCTATTCACAGTTTTTTCTGAAATCATATTGCCTTTGGCTAGGAAGAATGTTAAAAAAATATTTTGCAAAATGTTTTTCACCTGTATAGAGGACCTCAGCTGCAAAGCCCAAGGGGAGAAACAATTTCAAAATTTAAAATGTCAAGGAGGACCCAACAGAAAAACCTTGGAATGATTAGTGTGACCACTTCACTCATCAACAAAGTTCAAAATATGCATGGTCACAAAAAACATGACCTGAGTATATGTTTATTGGATACTCTGTGATCTTCATCAAGCAGACTCATATATTGATAGGATGTTCTCCTGTATTTTTATCTCTTCACTATTTCTGATGGTCAAGTTTGTCTCTACCTCTATTTATGTTAATATCAGTAAATGCTTTTATGTAATTACTGAAGATTTTCACCGTGAAGGAGATGTGGTGATTGGTGCATTTTTTCCTCTTCATACATACTATACAAAGAACAAAATTCCACATTCATATCTACCATATTATTATGAGGACAATTACCTCCAGTAAGTACAATCATTAATTTTTAACATTAAGAATTCTATGACTTAGTTGGTTTAGTCATTAAAACTTATTTTTTTGTGTGTTTTTTATTGGGACAACTTTTAGAGATTCTAAAATATATTATTTTTTTTCACTTTGGCTTATTTTTGCCCCATGTAAAAAAATGAATTGAAATGGTATCTTTGACTGTACTCATTGTAGTTTCCTTATTTGATTGCTAAGTATTACCTCTTATTACCTATTCTGGTGAGGCCATAATGTCTGAATCTTTTTCAATGTTGATATTTTAAGGAAGGATGGTTTAATCTAAATTTTTAATATAGGTCATAACATCTCTGAAGTCCTGCTGTGCTCTTCTGATAATAGGTGATGTCAGTGAATGCAGTAAGTAGGTCCTGAGTGTTGCTGTGATAATTGAGGGAACCTGTTGTCTTTTGTTACATGCGGCTGAATTCAGAATTAGGATGTCAAAAATATTTTTCCAGGTACAAATATTTAACTTGTCATTCATCAGAAAAAATCAAATTCATGACAGAAATGAATTAACTTTTATTATAAAAAATTATAATGTTGTCTCATACAATTCATTCACTAAGTGTAATTTTTCATATAGCATTGACCACAAAAAGGGATATATACCACAAACCTGAGGACATGCTTTTATCTTTCTCACTCAATCCTTTACTTATCTGTTTGGAAATTTTCTTGTGCATTTTAAATGGATGATTTCTCTCTCTGTCATACTTATTTATATGTTAGTAAGCATAAATGTTTTCCTCGTTCCTATCACATTCTGGTATATTAGCTTCCTAAAGGTCACATTTTCTTTCTTTTTTCTTTTTTTACACTGTTACCATTTTTTTTTAAATTCCCAATCTGCTTTTATACCATTTTAATTACATGGAAATATTAAGGTCAGCTGCTTGGCAGGAATCTGACATTGGCCAAGGGCAAAGAAATGGGCTTCAGGCAGGATTCTGATATTAGGCTAGAACAAAGAAGTAATTTCAGGCAGGAATCTAAATCTTAGGCTAGAAAGTTCACATTTTCTAAAGCAGTCTTTCTTTTTATCTACCATATAGAAGTGTAAGAAAATATTTATTGTATTGAGTGTTCCTGATAAATAAATAACTTTAAGAGAAAATTGGTTTTACTTTATTGTTGCATTAATACTATAGTCTTTTCAAATTTATTATAATATATAACATTTGTGTGTGTGCACATACTTTCAAAGCAGCTTACATTTTGAGGTGAAAAAAAACGGTGAGGACAAATTTTCTCTTATTATAATGAGTGCTCTGAGAACAAACACAGGTTCTCTGAGCTTGTTTCAGGATCCTGCAGTAACTAATTCAATTTAGTAGCCAATATGTTCAGTCCTTTTATTGATCTTTCCAATATGTTTTCAAATCCAACTAAAAATTTCCTCTGTTTTTAATTAGAGAAAATTATTTTTCCTCCCTTCAATTAAAATATGCATATGAACTAATATGTCAAAGTGGTTTTTGTCAACATACATTCATTTCTTCCATTTGTAACTTTATAAAATTCACATATCAAAACAATATATCCCTTGACAATTTAGATATTAGTTATGTATCATCAGCAGCAATTTTTCATAATAAATGAAAAACTATTTCCTGGTAAGCTACTTTGAAATATTTCACTTTCTGTTATATTTTATTTACATTTGATATTTTATATTCATTGTTCAAATTACAGCAAGTTACACTACAGCTAGAAATTTTCAATATTTATTCTCTGATAATATACAAAAAGTTATCATTTTGAAAAGCAGAAATATTTAAATATAAACATATATACATACTAATTCAAATGTAAACTACATTTGTTTGAAAAATGAAGAATCTATAAAACTTGCATTGCCAATTTTCTAGAAGACTTCTCTTGTAGATAATGAAATTCTGGAGTTTTTATGTCTATCTTATGTATATTTTCAGTGAATCTAGTTCCAACCTTAGCTGTATTTTGATTCTAAATTTGCCTTATGGTTGATATCCCTCTTTCTTTGAATTTCATCTGTATGGATTTTAGAAGATAGACTGGATCATGAGTGTTCACAAATGTCCTTCATGGCCTTCTTTTTATTTATGTTATCTAGAAAATCCTTTCCATGTTTTCCCTGTTACTTCCATTTGCCTTCATTCATTCCCAGCTTTTCATTAGCACCCAGGTCTTGTTTGTTAGCTTTTTATCATTGTGTTTTGTAAGGAAGATATAATCTGGAGATATATTTTCAGGTAAAGTTAGAAATACAAACACCATCAGGTCATAAAATATACAGCAAACTTTTTAGCCTAAGGGAGTTTAGCAAATTCTCACTGAGGTAAGGACTGATGTCTCTTGTCTTTCTGCATGCTAAGAATTATTCATCTTGCAGAGATAGTGTGCATCCAACTAATAATTCAGATATTTATAGGCTGGTTTTTTATAAAATTAATTCCATGCTCAAATAATATAAAATTAAGTAGTATAATGTTTTAATTTATTTTATTGTAATTGCATAAGTAAATAGAGAATGATATTTCATATAAGTCATTTCTTAGACGTTTCCAAGTGATTTTCCTGGTATTTTGGTATATTTAATTAAATTTCCAGTTTCTTAACATTTTCCGATAGCGTGAACCCCAGTAATTTGAGTAACACTTAAAAACATGTAGGTAGTAGTTTACATATGTTAATCAAAATGAATTTTGATCCAGTCTCAGAGATACAAGATTCAAATTGTCTGAGGTAAGAAATGTTTAAAAAATTAACAAGAGTACATTCTTAATATGAACTCTCATTTCCTTTTTTTAAAATTAATTTTGGTTGTATTTCTGAGATGGTTTTACAGAACCTCAGTGTCATTTTGTGATGCTGGTACTTTTGTTTTAATTAAGCCTAACCTTCCTAGCATATGGCTGCTGTCCATCAAGTTACTCAAGTTGAAAGTTCAATATTTCTTGATATTTTTTCTGACAAACTCTAACAAATTCTCTAAACTCTTTAAAACCTATTCAGGCTGTGTAATTTTAGTTTTATGTAGACTTTCATTTGGTGGTGGATAACCATTTTGTAAATTCTTTCATTTGGAAGAATATTACATCTATGGTAGACAACCTCAAAGCATTCCATAGTAAAAGTGAGAGAGGGAGAGAGAGAGAGAGGGAAAGAGGAAGAAAGAGAGAGAGAAGGATAGAGAGAAGATGTGTGTGTGTGTCTGTGTGTGTGTGTAAGTTTATGTTCTCCTTGGCTATTAATGAACAAAGAGTCCTTGAATTAAGAAAGAGAAAGGAGATTCATAAGGTTTTGAATAGTGCAACAGGAAGAGATAGTGACACAATTAACTCATAATATCAAGAACAGAAAGAAGAAAAATAGTTGTCATTTTCACAATATATTTATTATATACCTTGTTCTTTCAAAATCAGGCATCCAATAGAGAATGGTCAAATCTGTTTTATTAAAATTTTCTCTTATCACTGCTTTGTGATTGAAGATACTGAGCTCTTCTGCTGTCTTTAGCATATAATACATAAAAGTTATTGTTACTACATTACTTATGTGTATGGAATTGTCAAAAATCATGTGTTCTTTATATATGTATTTGAATATACAGTATTTATCAGTGTTAAAATGTTATTTATTCTATTTCCCCAAATTAAACATTCTACTTATCAATTCTTTTCCAGTGAATATTATTTATTTACTCATTATTTGCCTTCCTTTAAAAATAATATTCATTAATTTTTGATAATTTCTTTTTGATATCAAATAACTTTATTAAATTATCAAATTCAATGTTCAATTAATTTCTGAACATGTACATGCATTTAAATACATCTCAACTATAAGAACATTTAGGTATCATAAGCAAAGATCACATACCACATCTACCAGGTTTTTAATCTTGCATTTTATGTTTCAATAGCTCTGTTGATTTCCATCATATTAATATTATTAAGACTAATGTATTTCTTTTTGTTTATGGGTGTATGTGTGAATTATCATTTGATTATGTTAATTTGGAGTTTTGGATGGTTTTGTGCTAATATGATTTCTGGGAACCATACTTAGGTTCTGTGGGAAAAGAGCATTCTAAATTACAGAAATAGTTCTCTTTTCCCACTATATAATTATCCCCTGCAAATCATATTCAATATATTTAAACATATACACAATTCAGTATATTGATCATATTCTCCAAAGCTCTAACCTACTTCATTATCAACCATTTCTGCAAGTGTTTCTCTTCCAATCTAACTTTAATTTTAGCCCATTTCTCCTTAATCAATTTCAATTTTGTTGCCCAAGTACCCTTGAGTGTGAAACCACTCTAGAATCTGATTTGCCTAAGAGGCATTAGAATATTGAAAAATTCTGATTCTTCTTCCAGAAGTTATCATGTTGCAATACTGTTATGCTTGAGTAACAATGGCCCTCACAGACTCATATGTTTAAATGTTTGTGATATACTGAGCAGCACATTAAGGGGGCATGGTCACTGGAGTATGAGAGGCCTTGCCGTTAGAGGTGGTTTAGAAATCTAAGAAACTTAAGTCTGTCCAGGGTCTTCAGTTCAGCTGCCTGCAGAAGAAAATTTAGTACTTTCATCTCAGTCTCTAGGACCATGTCCACCTGCACATTGCTGTGCTTCTCATCATGATAAAGTGGATAAAACCTGTGAAATTATATGCTGGCATTCCAAGGGACTGTGTGTCTCTTTACAGCAAAAAAACCCTGTGAACCCAGAAGTTTAAACCAAGGACTGGAGTTTTTTGTGATAGGCAAGGTTTTCTTTTTGCAGAAATAATGAGTATGAATTTGGTTGAGGACATCAGTGAAATACATCAAATACTGCTTGATGAAGCATTCTAGCAGGAACTTGGAATAAGTGTTGCTGGGTGTTGTACTCTTTGTCCTGGCTAAAGTCGTTTAAGAGGAGATGAAAGTTAGCATGTTTCCTAGAGATACTGCTTGTTATTTTTGAGCAAATATTATTGCTACTTTTTTTTCCTAGTCAAAAACATCTCTTGGAAGCTAAAATGAAGAGACATAAAACAATCTTTTGGATTATGAAATCTCAACAGTCTATTATTGGTTCTATTGTGTGGTTATTTCTGTTCACTGTTACTAAGACTATAATGAAAGAAAGAAGCTGAGGGAGAAAAATTACAGATTGTAATTTTTTACACAATATAAAAAGTATAGAAATTGGGGAGAAAAGAGGAATAAGAGTTAGAATGGTGCTAAATCCTGTGCTCACATAGATAAACAAACTGACTGAAAGCCTGATGGTAAATGGAATGAAAGCAGTGGAGACATCAGGGCAAGATTCCACCCAGTCATGTGAAAAGGAGTTCAAGAAATACTTATTGCTGGGTGCAGTGGACAACAACTGTAATTCCAGTTGATGGATTTCTCAGTTTGAGACAAGCCTTGACTACAGATTAAGGTTTAGGTTATTAAAAAATAGGGACTAAAGGGAATTAACAAGAAGAGAAAGCTGGTCAGATTTAATTGGGGAAGGGGTCATGTTCCAGTTCTAATAAGCAGGAGAACTTTACAGCTGCAGCCCTGTGGTTCTGGCATTAAGAACCAATCATAGAAGAAAGGTGCTATTGAATCTTTCCCTGTAAAGAAGGAAAGATGGTAAGGTCAAGAGTTCATCCAGGAAGGCTTTGCATCCTAGAGGAGCCGTTATGTGAAGTTTTAAAGGAGAAGCCTGGAATTCCATTATGATCAAATGATGAAGAAGATGACTCAGCCCAGGGATACAAACCAGGGATAACTAGGAAGTCTTAAACTAGAATATTATCCATGAGCAATTTCAGACTGCCATAATGAGAAAAATTATATCAGAATTGTAGCAACTCTGACACATTTGAAATGTATTTAATTTGAAATATTCTTTAATAAAAATATTATTTCTAAAATATGATTGGTTTGATAATAAAATGGTTTGTTTTTTAACAAAACATCTCAGGAGGCCAAGATCAAAATATCAAAATATCTGAAAATTTGAGAGAAAGTGGTTTATGACATGTAAACTGATTTTTTGGTATATTCTAGTGACTGATAACTAAAGTGTGCTTTGAGGAACTATACTTGATAACTAGTAATATTAAATGATCTTGCCAAATTATAACATATTTACCCAATCTAGTTTCATATATTCATGGTGCAAAAGTTAAATTGCATATTTCATAGAAACAAAGATGAACTATAAAGTTTAATGTACTCAATATATGGTTCAGGTTGAATTCTTCTAGTGTGTATTTTGTCATTTATACAGGTATAATTTTAAGAACTATCAATATATTTTGGCTTTGGTATTTGCTATTGAGGAGATCAATGGGAACTCCAATATTTTACCTAATATATCTCTTGGATTTGATTTCTACAATGTCAAATTCACTGAGAAGGACACTCTTATGAATGCCTGTTTTTGGCTCACAGCTCAAGGTCGCAAAAAGATTTTACCCAATTACAATTGTGACAAAAGAAATTTAACTGCTGCCCTGACAGGAACATCATGGACAACATCTGCCCAAATTGGAACTTTACTTCAACTTTTTAAATTTCCTCAGGTAAGAAAATTTAGAGTGTGGGACCTGGGAATCTGGTTTCTTTGTTCTTATTACAGGTGTTTAAAAACTACAAGAGGGGTATTTGAATTATTTAACATCAAAACAAGTACTCAAACAATTTGATAGCAATCCAAATTTCTCTTGCATACAAGAGAAAGGATGGTGAAATAAATAAAATTAGATAGGTCCTTGAAACAAACAGGTTTGGCAGGACTATCAGTAAAGTTTTATAAATGGAATTTTTTCTTTAAAGCTGAGATAAAACTGTCTTTATTTCCTGTTGTCATTTGTTGCTTCGGGAATGAAATTTTGCTTGATGTTAATATTCTTCTTCTTACTTGGTTCAGCTTTCTTTTGGACCTTTTGATCCCATCTTGAGTGACCGTGGTCAGTTCTCTTCCCTGTACCAGATGGCCTCCAAGTATACATCTCTTTCACTTGGCATTGTGTCTTTGATGGTTCATTTTAGGTGGTCCTGGGTTGGTCTCATCCTCCCAGATGACCACAAAGGGAATATAATTTTACCAGAACTCAGAGAAGATATGGAGAGGAAAGGAGTTTGCATAGCTTTTGTGAAAATGGTCCCAGTCACATGGTCTTCAAATTTTAACAAATTCTGGGAAAATATGGATGAGACAAATGTCATAATTATTTATGGTGACATCGATTCTCTCACAGGTCTAATGCGAAATATTGGGCAAAGATTGTTGACAGGGAAAGTCTGGGTAATGAACACTGAACCTCATATTACTGATTATGCTGATTATTTCATGCTTGACTCATTCCATGGCAGCATAATTTTTACACACAATTATAGAAAGAATATTGAACTTATTAAGTTTATTCAAACAGTTAATCCTTACAAATACCCAGAAGACATTTACCTTCCTAAGTTATGGCATTTGTTCTTTTTGTGCCCATTTTCTGATATTGATTGTCAACTATTGGCTAACTGTCAATTGAATGCTTCTCTGGATGTGTTACCTAGTCATATATTGGACATGGCAATCAGTGAAGAAAGTACCAATATCTACAACGCCGTGTATGCTGTGGCCCACAGTCTCCATCAGATGAGTCTTCAACAAGTACAAATACAACCACAAGAAAATGGGGATGAAATGGCCTTCATCCCGTGGCAGGTAATAACCACTCTACTATATTGTATTAACAGAACTCTGATATATGAGATCTGCAATGACAGCAAATTAGGTACTGTAAAATTATGTTCATCTGTCCACATTCATGGGGATTTTTGTGTTTCTAAGTTCATTTAGAGGTCAAAGCAATTTAAAGTGTGTGTTGCTGATAAATGGCATGAATGATTACAGGAGAATATGTTATAAGTCGATACAAATGTCACTTTATCAAAAGCTAAATAAACTATATTCTCATGATAATTGTTGCAGTAAAAAAATTAATAATTTTTTCTGTACATTTCTTACAAAATGAATGAATGATTAAGCATTTAAGTGAAACAAAGAGTGTACTTTTAAACCTAAATAATGCTCTTTTATTACCCTTTAGCCATCAGCACACCCATTTTTGGGTTTAAATCTCTGAAGACATTCTGAAAACAAATGTTCTCGATAGATTTCCAAAATGTTAACATTTTTATGATTCAAAAATCATTCATTCAATACCTGAGATTGTTCCAATTTTTTCTCTTGAAGCTGAATTATCATTCAGAAGCAAAATAGTATCCCATGTGCTCTGTCATTCATTTTTTAAAATTAATGATAGCTTAATTAATTTGACTTTCAGATCATAAATTAAGATAAATAAGACACAATCTAAACCTTAAGTTTACTTCAACCTCTTGGGCACAGTGTAACATAAATTCATGAATCTCTTTTAGCTTAACATTTTCCTGAAAGACCTTCATGAGAGAGACAACGTGAGCTTAGGTGGGAGACAGAATGTAAATGCAGAGTATGATATTCTTAACCTTTGGAATTTACCAAAGGGTCTTGGAAAAAAGGTGAAAATAGGATCTTTTTCATCAAATGCTCCTGAGGACCAACAGTTGTCCTTATCTGACCAAATGATACAATGGGCAGAAGGATTTTCAGAGGTGGGTTATATATTAAATCAATGCTTTAAGCATATGCTAATAATAAAATTTTAATTTTAGATGAAATGATACTTGTTTTCTGACTTAAGGTCCATCATTCTTATGTTACTTGTATACAATTCCACTATGGTAGTACTAGGTTATTTTGTTTTTCTCATTACTTGATTTAGAAGAGTGGAAGTATTTAGTGTTAATTAAGGCCCACGTTATTCATTCATATGAATATTATTTATTCTTCACCTGTCAAAAATTATGAACATATTGGAAGAGGAAATTTCCAGTTCCAAATTGTCTCTTGGTTCAATGTGTTTTAAAATATTTTTCATTTGGTATCAATAACATGAAACAATATCTTCTGAGATCTTCTTCGGTTTCTTTCTTCAGGGACTTGAAGTTCTTGTCATACAAGTCTTTCACTTGCTTGGTTAGATTCACACCAAGGTATTTCATATTATTTGCAACTATTGTGAAGGGTGTCATTTCCCTAATTTCTTTTTCAGTCTGTTTAACTTTCATGTAGAGGAAGGCTACTGATTTGTTTGAATTGATTTTATAACCAGGCACTTTGCTGTAGCTGTTTATCAGGTTAGGTGTTCTCTGGTGGAAGTCATATCATCTACAAATAGTGAGAATTTGACTTCTTCTTTTCCTATATGTATCCCTTTGACTTCTTTTTGTTGTCTAATTGCTCTGGCTAGGACTTCCAGTACTATATTGAATAGATAGGGGGAGAGTGGGCAGCCTTGTCTAGTCCCTGATCTTAGTAGGATTGCTTCAAGTTTCTCTCCATTTAGCTTGATGTTGGCTACTGGTTTGCTGTAAATTGCTTTTACTATGTTTAGGTATGGGCCTTGAATTCCTGATCTTTCCAAGACTTTTATCATGAAGGGATGTTGAATTTTGTCAAATGCTTTCTCAGCATCTAGTGAGATGATCATGTGTTTTTTTTTCTTTGAGTTTGTTTATATAGTGGATTACATTGATGGATTTCTGAATATTGAACCATCCCTGCATTCCTGGGATAAAACAGATTGATCATGATGGATGATTGTTTTGATGTGTTCTTGGATTCGGTTTGCTAGAATTTTATTGAGTATTTTTGCATCTATGTTCATGAGGGAGATTGGTCTGAAATTCTCTTTCTTTGTCGTGTCTTTGTGGGGTTTCGGTATGAGTGTAATTGTAGCTTCATAGAATGAATTGAGTAGTGTTCCTTCTGTTTCTATTTTGTGGAATTGTTTGAAGAGAATTGGTATTAGGTCTTCCTTGAAGGTCTGATAAAATTCAGCACTAAAACCATCTGGTCCTGGGCTTTTTTTAGTGGGGAGACTTTTAATGACTGCTGCTATTTCCCTAGGGGTTATGGGACTATTTAGATGGTTTATCTGTTCCTGGTTTTACTTTGGGACCTGGAATCTGTCCAGGAAATTGTCCATTTCATCCAGGTTTTCCAGTTTTGTTGAGTATAGGCCTTTGTAGTAGGATCTGATGATTTTTTTAATTTCTTCAGTTTCTGTTGTTATGTCTCCTTTTTTAGTTCTGATTTTATTAATTTGGATACTGTCTCTGTGCCCTCTGGGTAATCTGGCTAAGGGATTATCTATCTTGTTGATTTTTCTCAAAGAACCAGCTCCTGGTTTTATTGATATTTTGTATTGTTCTTTCTGTTTCTATTTGGTTGATTTCAGCCCTGAGTTTGATTATTTCCTGCCTTCTACTCCTCCTGGGTGTATTTGCTTCTTTTTGTTCTAGAGCTTTTAGTTGTGCAGTCAACTTGTTAGTGTGTGCTCTTTCCAGTTTCTTTTTGTAGGCATTTAGAGCTATGAGTTTTCCTCTTAGCACTGCCTTCACGGAATCCCACAAGTTTTGGTATGATGTGTCCTCATTTTCATTGAATTCTAAAAAGTCTTTAATTTCTTTCTTTATTTCTTCCTTGACCAAGTCATCATTGAGTAGAGAGTTGTTCAGTTTCCATGTGCACGTGGGTTTTCCATTGGTTTTGTCATTATTAAAGACCAGTCTTATTCCGTGGTGATCTGATAAGATGCAAGGGATTATTTCAATCTTTTTGTATCTGTAGAGGCCTGCTTTGTGACCAATTATATGGTCTATTTTGGAGAAGGTACCATGATGTGCTGAGAAAAAGGTATATTCTTTTGTTTTAGGATGAAATGTTCTATAGATGTCTGTTAAGTCCATTTGGTTCATAACTTCTGTTAAT